TATATATACATATACACACTATTTTAAGTTTTATGTCATGATATATGTCGTTACCGCCACTCATAATGTATATCGTGCTATGAATTTTTTGCCATTTCGCACATTCCTAGTTGTAATGATAATTTAAAAAAGCAGCAACAAGATCGGTTTTGGAATATTGCATCTCTGGATACATATGAACCTTACTGTCGGACCGGAAAGTACGTTTTCTAAAGCTGGTAAGACTGATGAGGGGTTGATGAGGAAGCTCGGTTTAGTTTCCTTGGCTGCACTGAGAAGTAGTATTGGGAGCTCAGCAGACATGGTTTTCACCGAGCGTTTGCTAGTTGTTGCTGCCGGAGTGGCGGGGCGGGCCATGGGGGGTGGGGGAGGTGTGCTCTGTGATGAGGAAGCTCGGGTCGGAGACACAGCCCAGAGGAGGAGCTGGTACCAAAGGCGGTTCTAGTCCCAACCCGTCATTTTTGTTCTCCTGCCTGGCTGCCTCAGGACACTACAGGATTTCTCAAACATCCATGAATGAGTCAAAGCAAGACTCTGGGCATGTTTTTGATGAAAGGATAACATTATAACATGACATAACACTCAAAAAAGTTCATTTTACATGATACAGCCCCTTTAATCTCTTGTAAACAGTTGCAGGTTTTCATCTCCTTCCATGGACACAGTTACATCCTTCCAAAGCAGTAAATCCCACTGATGTCTGCATTAGACTTACTGTCTTTGTGCTAAACCTCACTAACACTCTCCAGCAAAAACATTTAAGTCAACTTTTAAATAATTTCATGTTTCCTAAATAGTATTTTCCCCTTGTCAGCTTGTTTCTTGCATTACTTCATTCAGTCTGCTTTGTTTCTTGTAAAAGTAAGTTTTATGAGATAAATTTGCTCTCAACATTTAATCAATGTGAAAATAAATTACACAATAAATTAAGACTGGTTTGTTTTCAGTGTCACAGTAACAATGTAAAATGTCCTTTTCCTGTATGTTTCATGTAAAAGACGAACCTCTCAACATGAGATGGAGACAATCTCACAAACCAGCATCTATTTAACAGCTCAGCGGCTGGCTGTCATGTTATTAACAGACCAACATCCAGCTGTGACCTTCTAACAGACTATACATTAGACAGCAATGGGCAGCAACTCCCTCTTCAGCGTGATGATGTGTGTGTTTTTTTCAAGTGTGTACATAGACAGTATGTGTCTGTGCATTGGGGTAGTAGTGCTAACTGTATGGCTGCAAAGATAAGAGCTGTGAACAAAAGCTTCACAGCTACACTCTGGGTTTGAAAATGGAAAAGGGGGGGGGGGGAACAAACAAAAAGAAAGAATGCACTCAAACAAAAAACAAAAAAAATAAGCTATCAAGCTTAGCTGAGTATATTTTGTACAAATGTGTTGCCTTGTTTTGCATCATTTGCACATTTTGTGATCTATACCTTGAAATCACAGCTCCCCTCTGCAAAAACAAAAAAAATTATTCTTGATAATGTGTGTTACCAGTGCGCTTTCCTTGGACGGTTCAGAAAAGTCGAGTGGCAAAATCAGCTTCTCGTCTACTTCTGGCAGGTCAGCCAAATCCTCTCCGAAATAAAGGCTCACTGGTGTGACCTGAACACACAGCTGAGAAAAAGGAAACATGACCTGTTCAGCCTAAATGTATTAGTAAATAACATCTATTATCACTATCACTCTAACGCACTGATTTAAAGGGGACCTATTATGCAAAATTCACTTTTTMAAGGTTTTTTTTACTCAACTTTGGGTATGTACTTCTTAAAAAACAGTCCTAGGACCAAAAAAATGCACCCAGGGGCATATTTACTGTAAATAAATGTATTTTTAATGTATATTAACGACCAGTTTTATACTTCCATTATTTTGTGATGTCACAAGCCGTACGACAACCCACCAGAACCTGCGTTCAGCCCCTTACCTAGCAACCCCCGGGTGAGACTCCACCTCCTCAATATAAAAAGCTGTCACCGTGTTGTTGTGCCATGTGCAGCTCATTTCACAACAAGCCTCCAATAGGGCAATGGGTAGAGCGTTGGACCAGAGAGCGGCACAGACACCATTTAATTTTTTTTTTCGTTCGTTATGAACACGTTTTCTCATGTACCTCTATTGTTTAGCTTATTAAAGCCTTGTTAAAGCCTATTTGTTCGAGTTTCTGATGTATTTTGACTGCTGCTGTTCCCTGCTCTGGTAACGGCTAGCAATTTTACGGGCACTTTTAGCTTAAGTTTTGGCAAATTAAGAACAAGGAAAGGAGGAAAGTAAGWWMWTACTACTACTTTTACTTTTATCAAAGTGTGGGTCAACCAGAACTGCACGTCTTTTCTAAGCTCAGATTCCACATGACACGTCACTCCGAACACATCAGCTTTTACCTGGTGATGACTTCTTAAGGCACCCTCGGGGTAGGAGCTGGTTCACCTCCGACTAGTCAGGGAACTGATGTCGGCTCACTTACTGGTCATTGGCGAGTTGGTGTTTTTCAGGTAACTTTTGTCTGTTTCAGTCCAAGCCAGAAAAATTCACGCCGTATCCGGTTCCTCTTTCCAAAATAAAATCTCCCTTCGGGAGTTAAAAACACTTTAGAGGCTTGAAGCCTCGGTGTGAGACCACCGGCTGGCGTGCCGGGTTCCTGGCTGTTAAGTCTCACTAGTTAGCTCATAGGATCAGACTTAAAGCCAAACTGGGTTTTTCTCCGGAGAGAATCCCAGCTGTCTTCCTCAGTTGGAATCAGGAAGAAGAGTGTGTCGCTCAAAGCCGTCCGGGTTAGTAAAAGAAACGGACGAACTTTGGTTCCGCCCTCAGGCTTAGAGATGAGTCAGAGAAAGAAAGATAAAGATTTGCCAGCGGCGCCAGCCAAAGGTTAAAATTCTGTGGTTGTTCAACACATGATACAATAACCTCTTTTCAGCTTTCTTCTGATAGACTCTAAGAGAAATCACTGCAAAACATTTATGATGATTAATTAACATTTCTGTATTATAATCAGTTCTGAACCTTCTGTTAATTCAGATAAATGAAAGATTTTCTCAGGAAAAATCCACAATTGTATTACTGTGTTCACAGTAAAATAAAAACAGTGATTTACATAAAAACACAAGGAAAACATTGTAATCAGATTCTCTGTGATTTTTTATACCATTATTAATCTTTAAGGCACAATAAAAGAAAAGTGGTTCCACTTTTMCTGTGACAGTCATTATCATGATTTAACAAAATGCATAAACATTATTAGTTAAACTACAAATGAATTACTAACAGAAGAGATTGTTCTGTCMATTATCTGATTAAGAGAACTGAGGGGTTCTCTTCCATGGTTAGAATGACCTGTCATGGCCTAAATAGAGTTCAGTTTGTGACAGAGTTCCTGTCCTCTCGCCAGGCCTGCCCGAGGCCTGCTTCGAGGCAGTAAATCTTGTTTCTTCACTCGAGGTGACCCCTACAACAGCATGCAGAGTGAGGGCAGAGCAGAGGAGGGAGAAAAAGAAAAAGAAAGAAGCTGCCACCACRACTCTGCCTCTGGGTCTCTCATATGGTTGTACAACGGAGCTTCTGCTATTATTAGCCATGCTAACGTAAACGCTGGCTTTGGAGGGTGGAGTTAATGTCAACAGATTTTTGGAGGGCATTACCAACAGAGCTCATTAACATAAACAGCTCTTCTGAACAGAAGTCAGAGCAGGCAGAACTAGAAAATGGGAAATTTTATTATCTGAGAATTATTTTGTGCATTAAATTGAATGATCATGGTCTGGATAGTCCACAGACATACCATAAAATTTCTAGGACCCATAATTGGTCTCCTTTAATACTCTGGATCAGTGGTTCACAACCTGGGGGGCACCAGTGCTTGGCCAGTCAGAGGTTGTGAAAAAAAAAAGAATCACTCACCAAAACAAGTCCATTTGAATAATCGAAACTCTGTATAACTCATTTCTTCCTTTTTTTCCTGATGCAAAAGAACTTGTAACTATTCACTTATTCTTTTATTTTGACAAAGGGATAAAGATTTAATGCATCTCTGGTAGAGATGGGGTGTTGGATTGTCTACGTTCATTCCACTAGGGGGCTCTATAGGTTGTTTACTTTTGTTCTGAAGTACTTTCTGTGAAATCAGAAGGGACATCTTTAAAAAGAAAAAAGAAAACTTCTACATTTACAGCTAAATACATTGCCCAACATGGTACGATATTTGATTTTGCAATATGCATTTGTTAGTGTGAACTTTTGAGAAAATGTGTTTTATCCTACACGAGTGTTCCAGAGAGACTAACTTTCTGTTAGTGGTTTTCTATGGGGTTTAGACTGTATGTTAGCAACTAATTAGCACAATGCTAACATTTGTTTCTTACACAATATGAATTAATATTGATATTTTATTGGCTGTAACGCTTTAAAACACTAAATTAAATGGGGTTTACATTGTATTATTTACTGGTTTAGGTTAAGCACAGCTTTAATTGTGATTTATTTACTTTAAACAGTGTTTTTTTAGTAACCAACAGGACATGAGAAAACCTGTGTTTAGATAACCAAAAACAAAATAAGCTTACCACTACTTTTCTGTTTGAAAAGGAGTAGGAAGAAGTGAACATTTATTTAATCCTACACCTCATCTCAATTTTAATGAAATATATCGCCATCTCAGTAACTCTCAGAAATTTGTAATTAGAAATGTTCATATGCATGTTCAATTTATTGTGTTAAAGAACCAACAAATAAGTGACATTTAATAAAAACTGACTCTCATAACAGGACAAGAAAATTTACTGACCCATAATAATAATAATTTGTTACTATGAATGTCAAATTTCTGTTCAGAAATTTATGGTTGTATGAAAGTTATAAAAGACTAAATATAATTTTAGGCATCAGCAGCCCGATGTATTTCMGTGGGCAATAAACAAAAATAACTATCCTCCAGTTATTTGTAATGTGGAGTATAGGGCTTTTGTGGGGGGTGGTTACTCAGATTGGCTTGGAAGTAAGAAAAGGGACTTTAAGGAAAACAGGTTGGGAACCACTGCTCTGGATAATAAGAATCATGCTGCTGATGAAGTGTAACTTACTGCTGCAGAAGCTGCAGGGCTGCATGCAACCCCGTGGCCCTGATTTATGAGGACGCTGTGTGCGTAGATGTCCTGGTCAGTGTGTGTGTCACACAGGTAGAGCTGCAGCACGTCTGCAGCGTAGCAGTCCAAAGCACCCACTAGAGTGCGATTGGAGCACAGTTTCTGAAAAGAAGCTGTGGCTTCAGGAGTCCAGTTAACCTGAAAGTGACCAACCGTAACGCTCATGTTCATAAAAAAATTTAAGTTGCAGGTGGAAGGCTGTACTGACGCCAAAAACTTACAGAGGTGGGTTTAATTCCAGCGAGTGCTGATGGAACTGCTTGTGCTGGAAGAATCGAATAGCTTGACCTGCAGAAACAATAATATAATAATAAAAAATAAATAAAAAGACCTGTAATGGTGCCGTTTAATAATGGAGGTTGTCAGGCCCCTACTTGAGAAACTTGAGGCTGTCGCTCTGGACTACTGTGATATCTCCAAAGTCAGCGTAGTACACCTCAACCTGAGTGGGGTTTAGAATCCTGTGGATCACCACTCGATAGAACCACATCCCTTCAGGTGAAACGCAGCAGACCTGACCCACTCTGATATACGGCTGAGGGAGGCGGTACCACTTTGACACCTCAGGACAGGTGTAACATCGTCTGTAAGACAAAAGCAGGAAACAGAATATAACCAGATCGACCTGAACAAGCACAAAAAAAAGGAGATCATATTTCGTCAACAACGTTAAAGTTGTCATGGACTCATGCGATACCTCATCTCAAACATCAGGTTCTCCATGGCCTGCACCTCTTTGCTCTCGCTGAAACTGATGTAGAAACTTCCAGGCGACTTCACCTGCTCCACCAAGACTTCGACCAGCTCCCGAGCACCGCGGCGCTTTGGCGATCTGAGGCGCTGATTCTTCAAGGCATCCAGGGGTATGACAGATCTGCAGTGAGCCTCGACGGTCGTGTACAACTCAGACACCTACAGGTGGACCCATGAAAACAGTGATGATGGTGAGCTGGTGCTCTAAACCAGAGATTCTTAACCCGTGGGCCACGAGCACCACCTTGAGAGCCTCAAAAGAACAACAGCTTTTAACTTTGGGCCGCAGAGGGCCAAATGACCGCGTTGACTTTGAATAAGGTGCAATACACTTTCTCACCACTAGCGGTAGTGCGCCACTCAGATGTTTAACAACTTTTTTAAAACGCAGAAGAACCTTAGAAACCTGCCAAAAATGTAAACCTATTTTAAAGGAAAAGTAGAAGGCCAAAATGAAAGGTTTTTTAAATTTGAAACATTTGGAATGTTTTTATTGTATGCCCACAATTTTATTTATTGAATTGTCTATTTTTGTTATTGTTTATGTTAAAAAAACGTTTTTGTGTTGATAAGCCTGAGTGGTCTGTTGACTGACCGTTGCATTTGTTCAACTAATTGTTATGGGCAGTTACAATATAAGAAACTGTTTTTGTCATAATCATGTCTTGTGATTATTTGAAAGGAGTTTAACTTTTAAACTGTAAGTGTATTTAATTTATTTATAATGCAAATGACATACAAATTAAACTAAGATTTAATAATTATCACTTTGATCCGTACATTGTTAATGTCTGACTGGGCCTCGTCTCTTTATGTTCAACAATTTGGGCCCCGAGGTGAAAAAGGTTAAGAACCCCTGCTCTAAACAGTTGACATTTAGCCACACGTATTGCTTATAGTTGGAGGGTTTCTAACCATTTCTTGGGTTCTACAAGTGATGGTGGTCTCCATCTCCCCTTCGTCACCATCAGTTCCTCCCTGTTTGCCTTCCCAAGGAGACACGTCAGAGCTGAAGTAAGAGTTCTTAGCTGGCATCTTTCCATCGTCGTTACTGGCTGCAGTTTCTTTTGTATCTGAAAAAAATAAAATAAAATAAAACTGTTCTTCCTGCTTAGGGTAAAGATATTAAACTTAAACGCTTTGCCACATAATGCCTGAGAAACCTTTTATAATTCTACTGTGCAGAGTTAATAAGCGCCTTTGATCTTTATACAACAAAAAAATAAAGGCCTTCTTTTGTCAGTTCTAGACATTTGAAAAATATTTAAACATGCAAAATAGCAAATACTGAAAGATTTTAATAAGATGGCAGCTAATCCTGATCATGAAGCCTAATTTAAATAGGTTTGGTTAAAAGTGCGTGTCTACACACCTGAGTGTCTGACATCACAGTCCTGTTTGTTCCTTATTATCCAGTCGTGTCCACTGTCGCCCTCTGCTGCCTCCAGGTGGAACATGTCACTCAGGGCATCAATGAGCTCAGTGACGCTGACAAAACCGCTCTCAGAGTAAGGCAAGTCCTCTCCAAAGAGTTTCTGAAGGGGAGGGTGACACCACACAATTCAGGAAGATTCGCCGTTGTGTCTCTTTTAGTCAGAATGACTTTAGATCCACTGATGAGCAAAACAGTCTAGGTTTACATCTACTAAACATACAGCTTTTTACTTGAAACAAATCTGGTTCAGGACAAAGTAAATGAACAGGACAGCTAGTCCAGCAGGAGTGAGGGTTCATTTCTACATCTGTGTACAACTTGCATCTAAAATTCACAACTTTTACCAGAACGATTGAGAAAGTAACAACACTTCTGCAGCTGTAAAAACACAAGGACTAGTTCCTACGTGTCGATGTTTTGTCTTAAATTTTCACGTGAGCAGCAGGCGAATGTCTTTTTCTTTACCTTATACTCCGTAGGAAGATCATGAACTGATAATCCATCACTCGACTGACCGACGACCTGCAGAGCATCGCAGACATCGTTAGAATTCCAGAGGCACACGTTCATGGAACAAACTACCACAGGGTTCCCACACCTTGGTCAACGTCAAATTCAAGGACCTTTCAAGGACTTTCCAGTACCAATTTCCTCAAATTAAAGAACCATGCACAATGGCAATTACCTACTGCTACCACAGAATGTTACCAGTAAACAGGTTTAATATCATGTAAATTCAATGAAAAACTGAACAACATAGAAGTTGTTGAGTCAGAAACATTGGGCCTCATGCAAGAACATGTTCGTATTCTTCTCCTAAATTTCTCTTACTTTTGTTCGTACAAAGGGTTCGTACGAACATGTCACTTCAGATTCAACAAACTCTTCTATCTTCAGGAAAAGTGTGTAAATGAGCTGCGTAATTTCCACCTGTCCTATCCAGCTGCTCGTGCACGGGAGAGGAGATTACCATAATTACCACCCCAAAAACACCATATAAGGCTGTGTTTCCTGCCTCAGATACAAGGAAGTGTCCATTCATTCATGAAAATTACAGCGAAATCTAAAAAGAACTTTAAGTTCAGAGATTGAAGTCCGTCTGTCAGAGATCCAGAAAAGAAAATCTGTCATTTTTAGCAGGTCAGCTGTGGAATAAAAAGAGCTGCTAAAAGTATAAACAACTGTGTTAAATCATTTTCATTTATTCAGAAGCCGCAGCGCTGCGCACCGTGCGCCTCCGAGTTATCCTCCGCAACAAATTCAAATTCAATTCAAAAATACTTTGTTGATCCCAGAGGGAAATTGGGTAAATTCGGTTAAATTAAAACTTAAATTAAATTTTAAATTTAAATTTTAAAGTTTAAATTAAATTTAAATGTAAGTTTTTTTTTGTTTTTTTATGATTAATTTTTTTAAAAGATGATGAAAATCAGTGATTGGAATAGAGAATTTCAATACCTAAAAAACATTCAAGGACTTTCAAGGACAAGTGTAATTTTTGGCTGTTTTCACAAGCTTTCCAGGGCCTTGAAATCATTTTTTTCAAATTCACAAACTTTCAAGGATTTCAAGGACCCGTGGGAACCCTGCTACCAGCATATATCAGAAACAGTGAAAACTATAAGTCTTATCTTCTTTTTATCTGTTATTTCCTTTTAAATGTTTTTTTTTCTTGCACTGTTTTTTGTCCTGCCAATTGAATAGTGAGGTGTTGGTTTTTGTGCTTACTTGTCTAGGACGTAGGATGAAATTTAGCTTATTGTGCTGATTCCTGCATATTTACACTGCCATGAATTGTAACGTTGATTAATGTGCATTGTCCTAATCAGATAAATAAATATTTAATATGGCAGTATTGATTTGTTCATGCTTGTCAACATATTTACATGCACTTTCATCATCTTTGAGAAGTATTTATTAACAAAATCTAATCTGCATTTTTCAGATTGTATATATTCATGTTTTAAAAATTATTTCTTGTCTAAGTGGTTCCCTGTTCGTTAAGCTGCTTTTGTCATAGTTTTGGTTCAACAGGCAGATGTGACAAACCGAGAGGAAGCTAAATAAATTACAGCACCTGATTTATTATACTCCACTTCACCATGACTCATTTGCAGCTTGTGCTGCTGTTTATAAATGAACTGTAATAGCAGGTGCACCTGGGAGACAGACGTTACAGTCTACGTGCCAAAAACCTGCTGCTGCTTGTCGCTGCGCTTGAATGACTGAAAAAAGCCCCGGGAAATATGCTCAGGAACTAGTGTGAGGCCTGACCTTTCGCAGCTTGTCCTTCAGCTCGGGATTAATGGTGCCAGCAACACCGTTCTCCAGGATCTGTTGACGAAGCTCCTCCTCAAGCTGACACGAAAGCAGGAAAAGGATCAAATAGACTAAGGAAATTCAGGCGCTTACAGCTGTTGAYTCCAGTTTTATGGCATTCTGAGTGTTAAAAAAACAACTTAACCAGTTCTATACACCAGGTAAACTACTATTTCAGGTGCATTAGTTAAAATTTAATTTAAATGAGAACAGACCTTGTGTATGAGTTTCTCAAGGTGCTCATCCTCTTGGCAGGCCACTGGTTTGGTTTCATGGAACTTCTCGTGTGTTTCTAGCTTGCTACTGACATTTGGCTCTTGTTGAACAGGGTTCAGACTCGTCTCAGAAGGCTGAATCACAGGACTCTCTTTCACTAGAACTTCACCTAAACAAGACATATAAGTTAAAAAAGTGCAATAAAACAACTATAACTGAATGCAGCGCCACGTAATTTCACAAACCTGAACGTTTTGTTGGCTCAGAGCTGGAAACCTGGCTGTTTGTGGGAAGGAAAGCTGGTTTCATCGGTTCAGTCTTCCTTATTAGGTTGGCTGGTCTGATCAACGGCCTCGGCATCATATGTTCTCTCAGTGCCAGAAGTGAGCCCAGCCTGCTTTGCTGGATTAGAATCATGTCACTTGCTGCTACCAGCATCTCCACAGTAGAGTAAAATCCATAGTCGTGGACCCGCAGGGGGTAGCCAAAGGAGCGCAAGTAACAGAGCTCTAGGTCGGCTAACCTAACTGGACCCTGAGAGAAGAGTAGCAAAATTACCACTAATGTATAACGTCCTTTTGTTCTTAATTTCCTTGTTTCAAATACATAAAAATAAGAATTTAAACAGCTTGAAGACCTCCAGTGGGCTTAAAGGCGAGTAAATTCATCCGTAGCAGTCAAAACTCATAAATGTACATAACAGTAAATTTAATCTGTTGGTTTTGAGTCATACCTGGCAGAGCATCAGGCGCAGCTGCATCCTCAGATGCGCAGGGAGGGCTGGAGGAGCGTGACCTCTTCGAGGGATGATCACAGGGGTGAACCCATAACAGTAACGAGGAGAGAAATGCTTAAAACGCTGCTTCTTTATCCGGTCAGCCTTAGACACCCGCTGCTTGGCCACTAGCTCTTCGATGTTTCGGGTTTTCTCGTTGCTCACGGCTGTTAAGGAGGTGAAACATTAAAACACTGTTAAACAGTAAGAATCAAAAAATTAAATCCCTGACATGAACGAAGAATGTCAATTATTACAAGCAGTCTGCAGTTGGAGTTGAATTTAGTCATTTAGAGGGGAGTAAACGCAAAAAGATGCTGAACTAGTAAGAAGAGGCACGTTGCTTCTGATACTTTTTCTTCAGTTATTTCTTTAAAGGTGAGCAGGACACACTACCTCTCAAGCATGGACTTCCATCTGGCCCGTAGTGAACAGAAACTACGTCGGGCATCTCCTTAACCATGTCCATAATGTTCCTGAAGCCCAAGACTTTGAGGGGCATCGGATGACCCAACATGTTGAAATAATCCTGCCGGAGCTGCTCAGGATCCAAACCCAACTTGGAGGATAAGAGTAGAGAGCAAACATCCTTCTTCAGCTTTGCCAAAATGTCTTCCTGGCTCATCTTGCCTGCTTGGGTCTGAAACAAACAAAAAAACAAACAAACAAACAAACAAACAAACAAAACAAAAATGTTAAATGTTTTGTACCCTGTCCTTTAAACTGTCAAAAAATTCAACTGAATTAAAATTTTGTGTTCGTCTTTCAGGAATGAAAAGGCTCCTAAAATCAAAGCATGAACCTGTATTGTGTCAACACATAACAATGTAGCAAGAAACCCATTTTTAAGCTATATAAAAATGAAAAGATGATTGGAAAAAAAAGTCCAAATAAAAAAATTCTAAATCCAGTAATGATCCTGGAGAACAAAAAACACTTTTGTTTATATGTTAAGTTTCTCATTAAAAGCTAAATAGAAAGCAATGAAAGCATTACATTTCACTTTTTTTTTACAACTTTGAACACGATTTACTTGACTTATTCTATTCTTTTAGCGCGTTAGCAATAATAATTACTGTAAAAACAATAAAAACATCTACTTACTGGTAAGCTAGTAGATGCTAGTTACCTCCGTCTTTTCAGAGGAAAAAAATCGTCAGCTGCTTATTTGAAAAAAAAATAGCTTAACAAAAACGTTTTGTTTTCTTTACCCGGTTATGATCCTGAAAGCAAAAATGAAGATTTAAGGAGTTATCCCTTATGTTTTCCGGATCTTTCCACGATGTCTGCAGCTTTCTCTWCACCTGATTGACGCTAGCTGACCGCCATGCCACCACGTTGTTCAACTGCAGCAGGTGTAAAACAGAAACAGAAGGGGGGTAAAAAAATAAAAATAAAAATAAAAAACCGAGATTTGAATGAAAAAAATGAAGAAGTCACTTTTTTTCAAAGCATCTGGTAAATTCCAGTAACTTTTTTCAACTAGCTGTTTGAAAACTAACGGGAACGTCTTAACGCGCTTAACCAACAATATTCGGTAGGACAAAATGAATAAATCAAGCGCACCTTTTTCCTTCTCGTTAACCATTCACTCGTGCGCGTTGGAAGCGTTTGTTTATGTTAATCAGCGAGGCACGCAGGGGCGGAGTGAAGGCAACCAATTGGCCACCTCAGTCAACAATGGTTAAAAATATATAAATATAATTAGATATTTATTATATAATTATATATTTATACATATTAACAAAAAATACAATGCATATTTTGTCACACACACACACACACATATATATA